ATATATATACACATGTCAAAAATAGATAAATCATTTACAATAAAAACATTCAACTTTTTAAGAAACTTTTTCTGAAGTTCTTTGTTTCTATTGAAACAGTGGGTGATGTCAAAACAAAGCCTAGCACCCAATTGTTCACCCTGTATGCATCCACAAGAATGCTAAGGAAGGCATTCTTGATATTTCGATGTGGTGAGCTACATTTATCAAATATTTTTATGTTCACCTTGTGTGGTTTTCTCCATAGTTAATTCTCCTATGTTATTTGTGAATATTCATTATTCATTCTTCAGGCACACAATGAAGTCTATCATGAGGAACCAGCTAATATATCGCTTTCTCTTCCTTTGTTTTCTTGTCTTGCAGAACCGTGACAGAATGGTCGAGTTTATGAGCAAAGTCATGCCGCACACGGTCGTCTCATGCTGGCAGCCTTTCCTGGGATTGGCCCTCGTGGCTGTTTTTGTGGGTTCTACCCTGGGATGTCCCTCGCGATGCGAGTGTTCAGCACAAAGCAAGGCAGTTGTCTGTCACCGTAAGCGCATGCCCACCATCCCAGATGGCATCCCAACTGAAACAAGAATCCTGGACTTAAGTAAGAACAAGCTGACAATGATCAACCCCGATGACTTTTTTGCCTTCCCTGGGCTTGAGGAACTTGACCTCAGTGGAAATATTATCAGCTATGTTGAGCCTGGAGCATTCAATGGGTTGTTTAACATGCACTCGCTCAGCCTCAAAAGCAATCGAATCAAGCTTATTCCTCTGGGTGTCTTCACAGGCTTAGCCAATCTTACCCGACTGGATATAAGTGACAACAAGATTGTCATTCTCCTGGATTATATGTTCCAGGACTTGCACAATCTTAGGTTTTTGGAAGTGGGTGACAATGACCTGGTTTACATCTCTCACCGTGCATTCAGTGGACTTTTAAGCCTGGAGACACTAACCTTAGAAAGGTGCAACCTAACAGTTGTACCCACTGAGGCTCTTTCTCATCTGCACAACCTGGTCAGCCTGCATCTACGATACCTCAGCATTAGCACTTTACATCCATACTCATTCAAAAAGCTATTCCGATTGCGGCACTTAGAAATTGATAACTGGCCTTCACTAGACCATGTGCCAGCTAATACCCTGCATGGCCTCAACTTGACAACACTGTTTATAACCAACACCAACTTGTCCACCTTCCCTTACCTAGCCCTGAAGCATCTTCCCTATCTGACACATCTCAATCTGTCCTACAACCGCATCAGGCACATTGAAGCGGGCATGCTGATGGAACTGGTTCGGCTGCGAGAGCTGCATATTGTTGGAGCTCAGCTGACCACCATTGAACAGTATGCATTCCAAGGTCTGCGGGGTCTCAGAGTTCTCAATATCTCACACAATCGACTGGATACATTGGAAAAGGGCGTTTTTCAGTCTCCTGAGGCTCTGGCGGTTCTTCTCATTGACAACAACCCCTTAGTGTGTGATTGCCGCCTCATGTGGATCCTGCAGAAGAGGCATTCCATCTTCTTTGGGGATTCACAGCCAGAATGCAGCACACCTGAGGGCATTCGTGGACGCCCTTTTAAGGAGTTTAAGGAGACTCTCCTGTCTTATTATGTTACATGTACCAAACCGAAAATTCGTGAAAATAAAACACAAACAGTTACTGTAGATGAGGGTCAGCAGGCTATGTTGCGTTGCAGTGCTGATGGGACACCAAGGCCAATTGTGTCTTGGTTGTCCCCACATCGCCGAGTGCTAACAAACAGCCATAGTAGAGTAACCATCCATAAAAATGGTACACTAGAAATCAAGGCAGCAGAAGTCCAAGACAGTGGAGAGTACCTTTGCCTTGCCTCCAACACTGCTGGAAATGACACCTTGAAGACATCATTGGCGGTGAAAAGTTTAGGATCACTGTATGCCAACAGGACCCAGTACTACACAGATCCCAGCAATGCCACTGCCAATGGAACGACTGGTGTGACTCTCGGTTTTGACCTTAAGACTATTTTAGTGTCAACAGCTATGGGTTGTTTCACATTCTTGGGAGTGGTCTTGTTTTGTTTCCTGCTTCTTTTTGTTTGGAGCAGGGGGAAAGGAAAACACAAAAACAATATAGATGTTGAACATGTGCCACGATCAAAGTCTAACGGCACTAATGTTGACTCAGCAGAGGGACAAGCCGGTCCTCGTCGTTTTAACATGAAAATGATGTGACTTCTTTTATAGAACTAAGAGTCTGGATTGTGGAAAAGCCCAAAGTACAGTGTATTTTTTTGAAAACAGAATGACTGAATCTTCTCACTGCTACAGGAAGAGTGGTAGTGAAAAGACCTTGGGGCATCACAAAATGATGAGCATTACCTTAAATCTGTGGATCTTGATATAGTTCTTGAATACTGTGTCTCAAATGAAAAAGATTTTAGAATGACTATCACTGCTGGAAAAACCTCTCAGATGAGTTGCTCTCATGAAGACCTGGATGAAATAAGTGTCAGTTATCAACTTTTTGAAATTTATATGTCCCAGAATCATTCAGTTTTGGGATGGATCTACAGACTCAGTTGAACAATGTACATTACAAATTTGTATCTAAGCTATAACCTACTTTGTTTAGTCTTGCGCCATGCTTATTCACCAATCAATGAAACATAATTTCCTATGTTCTATATTTTTCATATGTGTACGTAATGCTTCATTATGTACATGTATGTACATAATCGTTCAAAAGAATAGTTCATAGCAATATTCATGGGATACACTTGCTAAAATTGCTATAACCCTGTTCCACAAGTACATTCTTCAGGCTTTTGAAGTTTCCATTGATTCCAGAAGGGCTTCTATGGCTAAGTATTTGTCCTCTGCTCCCCAATTGAATAAATATTAATAAATATATATATCATTTATCAATAGAAGCACAAGAAAATGATTTTATTCATGAAAGTATTAAGAATTTTGCAAAATTCAGTCTTCAAAAACTTTTCAGGATAACAGCTGGATTGTCATAACATTGAGTATTGGTCAAGCAACCTACATGAACCACTTTTCTGTCTTATTTTGTCTATTTTTATTCCTTTAACTGTACCTTTGCTAGTTGGCAAACTACATATGTCAGTTTTACTACAGTGACATTTGCATCATTTTCCCCAGTAGGAATTTTGGACTTTGTTGTGGTAGTTCTTCATTTTGTTGTTGAATCATTTAGATTGTGAAAACAAAAGTAAAAGTAAAAAACTATGTATGTGAAATAAAAAAATGTATTTGTACCAAAGTGTCTGACTAAATGCATAAAATATAATCATCTTCTACGCAGCCTCACTGATAGACTTCACATCAATGGTGTAATAATAATTGTATCATTGCTAATTCCTTTTTTATTGTTGCAGTCTCTAAAACCTCACAGAAACATTCAAAACATTAACACTGAAAGTGATGTAGTCAACCATGGTTAAGAGATAAATACTTATATGAACAATATTTACTTGCAAATGCCAAAATGCAATGCTAGAAATATTTGATAATATGGTACAGTGATCCAGAACTGCAGTGATCCACTCTAAATGTTCACAATAATAATTAAATCATGTCTGTACAGGCCAACTCAATGAAGCTATAGTTTGTATTTAGTTTCACTTTAACTATCATGGAGTTACTAGCTTATAACATCTTTTACTCCCGTTTCTTACAACAAATAAATTTCTTATTTATATATAATTTTGTAATTCATTTTGTAAGAATTCATACATTTAACTGTGTTGTCACATTATCAGATCCACATTTTCAGTTGTTTTATTTTGACTGGCTTGTTGTATGATGAGAAATGTCAGTTCTGGACATTTTTTGTGTTTTTATTGCCCTATTTGTGCAAATACAAATGTATACTGTGAATTCATTCTTCAGATGGGGATGATGTCTAAACATGTAAACTATGCCTTTGTTATTGTCACTTTAGATGAAAATATGTAATACAACTCGGGTTGTTCCATTATCCAACTTACACAATGTAAATTGAAGATGAAAACAGAAGCAGTTTGCCTGCAAAGTAAAACATGCCCCTTTTTTAAAAAATGTCTTGGCTGCAGCAGGAAGATTTAAGATGAGCTGAAAAAAATAAACAAATTACCTAAATGTGGAACACCATATATATATTGCTGTTGCTTTTGCACAGCCTCTGGGTGTGACTGTTACAGGGATATGAGGGTTATAATACTGGTATGTATAAGTAATAACTGTGTATGTTATTAAAAATGTAAGAACCATTGTCTTTTTACCTATGCATGATGCCCGTTGGCATCGTGTTGGATAATAGTGACTCCAGGCCAGCCAGTCAACTCCTTGGGGTTGAGTGAAACTTCAGTCGTAGAAAAAGTTTATTATTTCAAACATTTGAGTAATTTAGTATCAGAGTAAAACAGATTGAAATGGTCTATAAATAATTTATCAATGTGTTAATGTAGGCAGGGCTATGTAAAATCATAGCAAACTAAGTACAATTGTAAGTTGGAATCATGGAACAAGCTTTAGTGCACTGAATTGTATTACATGTCTTAATCCAAAGTGACAATAAGAAAGGCAAAGTTTAGAGAGCATCAGCATTTAAAGAGAAATTCACAGGTGCCATTATGTATGTGCCAAATAAGAAAATTAAAATAGGAAGTACCCCCAAAACTGGCATTTACATTATATAGCTTCAGCAGTTATACTTAATATACTGAACCTCACATTTATGTTGCATTTGTGTCTTGTGATGAAGAGTAAAAGAAATAGCGACTTCCAAATTGGTTCCTCCTCCATCAACTGCAGAGCAACCAAACTTAAAAAATTAATTCAGTTACTTTACTTCACCCTGCTTAACATGTTTTTGTCTAAAGTATATTTGTATGAGACATCAAGAGTGACTAATTTCTTCTTCCACACTTGTCTAAAGGTAGAGTCTTTAGACTAAGTTTCCAAGCCTGTAGTCCTCTGGGCTGCTTACGAAATGAGAGCACCAAATGCTACAACTTGACCAAAAATACAAAAGAAACAAGGTTAACTTTGTTTTGTAGGTCAAATACCAAACACACCTTTTATTTTGATATCTTTTTTTTATACACTAAATGAAATGTCTAAAGAATAGAGAAGGTCCACACAATGCTCAGATCATAATCAGCAATTAGCTTAGTGTGCATGTCTGGATTGTGGTGAAATGACACAGAAAATTCCACCCAGGATCTTTGTGCTATGAGGCAGCATGAAACTGTGCCACCGGGGTTTCATCCTTATTTTTTAAAAATAGGTACCGGTCTTAATTAACAGGCAGTATGTCACTATAGCAACTCAGATATGATTCAAACCAAAGATTTCTAAATGCACAATTATAAGCCGTGTAAAAAAATATAACAATTGCCAAATGTTTAAAATACATTTCTGTGGATATGTCCACAATAATTTGCTGTTTTGGTGATCAATTTATATTAACTGAATGCATTTAAACTGGACTAAAGCATTTGAATTGCATATGAAAAGCTATTAGCACTTTCTGTTTGTACCCCTCTTATCAGTTATTGACTGATCTGACCACTCTTATTTTCAGACGAATTACTGAGGATAATTTTTTCAGAACAGATGAGAGTCTCAGCCTAATTTGACTAATGCAGTTCTTGGCTCAGAAAATGAAAGACTGACATATTACCATAATTCTAAATCAATCAAATACATTACTTACCTTGGCCATTAAAACTGTGATGACATACAGGTTCCAAAAGCTCGGAGACACTTCAAAAGTTTTTATTTTATCAAGTATCACTAAAATATGTAGGGAAAGATATCTCGTGTTTCTTTCTTTACAACTCTTTATGTTTTTTTATAAAGAAACAAACATCGTTTCTAATGTCACATCAAAGAAGATCAAAATACATGTTTGATGTAATTTACTAACAAAGGCATTAAATCAGAACCCCCCACCCCCCACTGACTTTCTTCCAAGATTACAATGATACTGAACATTAGCAAGTTATCATTATTATTATATCTTGTATAATAAGACCAGAAACACTCTTTCA